GTCCATGAGCAACAGGTCTTATAGCAAGTTGAAAATTCGGATAAGAAATTTCCTTTTTATTCCGACTGTTGTAGCCTTGCACGTTACATGAGCAAAAATAGCAGTCATCTCCGTGGTTTATAGGCTCACGCCAGACCATTGGAATTACAAAAGGCAAAAACAGTGTCAGTTTATAAGTACGAGAATTATTATTTTGATTTCACTTGAGAAACGTTTTATTTGCATGAAATTATGTATATATTTATAAATATTTAATTTAGTATGTTGTACTTATACTTACGTTCTTCAAAATATTTGGAAAAAAGATTCACTAAAACTGTAAGGATTTTGAGTATAGATACCTAACATACTAACACATGTTTTTTTTATAGATTTTTTATGATCATTTATAATTTTTTTATAGATTGTTTAGGCAGAATATTCATGATAAAACTTTGTAGAATGGACGGCTTTCGAAACGTCGTCCTCTACACTTGTGTCTCTACAACAGGCAGTTGCCGTCCATTCTACAAAGTTTCATTATTTATAATGATCGCCATATTACATTTAAAGATGTCGGAGACAAATGTGCTGTGAGAATTTATATATTAAAAATTTATGTTTATAGACATATCTGGAACTAGTTGGTATACGGCGACTTTTGTTGTGGTAAACGCAGCCCTTGGAGCTGGCCTTCTCAACTTTCCTCAAGCTTACCACCAGGCGGGTGGAGTCTTAGTGGCCATGTGTGTTCAGCTAGTAAGAACAAATTATATTTAAGTAAAAATATACTACATTAATAATAGTTCAATACACGAAATATTATAGTGTTTCAATCATAAGAGCCTATAGTGAATATAAGTTATAACTGTAAAAACACAGCAATTCATCAAGACAAAACTTGTTTTTTTTACTTTGTTCTGTTTTCCACATTTTAGTTGCCTTTAAACAGTTAATCAACAGAACACCAACAGCATTCGATTGCTTTGTATTTAAATTGTAATAATAATAATTATCAAAATGATAACATATTCTGCGATCCATATTCATATATGGACAATTATCATAGAATTATCTGTTTTCCGATGAAGCATCTGCAGCATATTTTTTATATGGCATTTGTGATTTACGCTGAAAGTAAAGCCCCCCGAGTGTTAAAACTGTACCCACAGGTTTAGTAGGTCGTAGTACTACAAGCTCACCTACGAGTGAATATTGTGTTAATTTAGAATAAGATTTACTCCCTTTATATTGCCCCCCATTGGCACAGCGGCATGTCTGCGGACTTACAACGCTAGAAACCGGGTTTCGATACCCGTGGTGGGCATAGCCCAGATAGCCTACTGGGTAGCTTTCTGCTTAATTACAAACAAACTGAAAGTAAAAAAAAACAAACAAAACAAAAATATTTTTCGTCATATTCTGAAATGCACTTGAGTTTATTGACAACAAACAAAGTGACTACAGCCAAGGGCCTTGCATGACCTAATGGTTAGCGAACTGTGAATTCGAGAGTTCATGATTTACATCCTGTTACCGCAAAAACGCGTTCCACATCTTGAGATCGTGGGGGCGATGTAAAAGAGACCAAATCCTACTATTTGGTCAGGCAAAAATAGCCTACGAGATGGCGGTGGGTGATATTTAATAGCAGTCTTCTCTCTAGTCTATTAGTTTGAAATTAGGGACAACTGTTTGGAGATAGCTCTCTGCAAAAAAAAGTGCTGAACGAGCATACTAATTTGCAGCCAGTAGCGACTACAATCGCAACACCAAGCGACCACCATGGTAAGAGTTACACGAAATTTTAAGAAATGAATCTATGCTTCAAACTTGACAAACGAATTATTAGGGCAAGGACATTAAGATGAAAGCTTGTTTTGGTAAAATTCCATTTCTAATTTAATACTCGCCAGTTTGTTTGTTTAGCGAAAAGCTACAGTATGGGCTATCTATGCTATGTTCACCGTGTGGAATCGAACCCCGAAATTTACCATTTTATGTCAGTGAGATTACCATTGACAGATCAGGAACAATACTTGTCAAAAAGTTGTTTACTGACAAAGTATTTTTTTAGCATTACTATTGCTCCAAATTTCCATAAAAAAACAGAAAGAGTTTGTTTGTTTTTTAGTTTAAGGACAAAGCTACACAATGGGCTATTGGTGCTCTGCCCACCACGGGTATCGCAAGCCGGTTTCCAGCGTTGTAAGTCCACAGAAATATCGCCGTGCCACTGGGGAGCGAAAGAGAGAGAGAGAGAGAGTAAAATGTAATCTAATTTTTTTTTAAATAAGTTGTTACATGTTCAGTTACGAAAATTTCGATAACCAATAAGAGGGAATCCTCAATAGCCTCGGCACTTGAAATACTTTTAGGCAGGATTAGAGTAAATTAATCTATTTGGCCTTTTTCATTTCCTTTTTATTATCTATATTTTTGTGCGCCAGCAATAACAAGCTTCAGACGCGCGTATACCTCATCAGGATCTCTACCAGCCTACTTTGAAATTGAAATTATTTTAGGCAGGATTATTGTAAATTAATTTATTAGACTTTGGGCGTGATCAAATACATCAATCGAAAGGGTTTGATCTCCTGAGTCTAAAACTGTAATTAGATCTCAAATCGTCCAAGTGATGGCGAAGCTATGAGCTAAAAGTCTGTACTTAGAAAAAAAAACGAAAAAACCAGAAACATTATAGGAGCTACTATGCCGCGGCTAAAAATATTCTTTCATTTTTTGTGTTTCTGTTTCCCATTTTGGAGAGCAAACGTTAATGAACCGCATTTCTCTTGCGTCTGTTTGTTTGAAGTTAAGCACAAAACTACACAATGGGCTATCTGTGCTCTGCCCAGCACGGGTATCGAAACCCGGTTTCTAGCGCAGACATACCGCTGTGCTACTGGGGGCGTCTCGAAGTACTACTTGAAACATAAATAACTTTGTAATTAATGCAACAAAATATTAATAGTCCATTAACAAGTGTGAAGTAAGCCTAATGCAGTTTAAACTCCTATTGTCTAAAGTGTTTCGGAATTTTTATTGTGACTCTGTTATACAACTTTCTAAATGTAACGTTTTTCAGGTACATGCTTATAACTTATACAAATATTTCCAATTACAGAATACGCATTTGCCAATAAAATGAACCAAACAACTTGAAAAAAATTGTATTACAAAAGGACAGATACAAAATATATAACTGTAACAAGTTGGTCTTTTTTCAAAACAAACGGGTCTTTTCCGTTTGGTGACCACCAACAGATCATTTTAAAAATAACATCAGTAATGCAATGAAATAAAATAATTAATAATAAAACATTATATGATATTTATTTAGCGAATCCTGCGATATTAAATAATATTATTTAAAATAAATCTTCAGTTTTGTTTATATTTCTCCATATAAATTCACAAAGATAATTGTCAAACATTTGGCGATGAGTTCCGCATTGACGCTTATTACTGTTGGTAGACATCAAACGGAAAATATCCAAACAAACTTCTTTCCAAACATTGTGACGTTTGAAACATGTTGTTTTAATTTTCACTTACGAAAATATTTTTGTTTTCAAAACTCTAGCAACAATAAATAACAATATTTGCCTTTCAGGTTTTGATTGTTTTCATCATAGCAGCTTTGTTAATACTGGCTCACTGTTCAGACGCTAACACTAGTTCGACGTATCAAGAAGTCGTTCGTCAAATCTGTGGTGAAAAGGCACGAAGGATCTGTGCCGCTCTAATCGCGTTATACTGTTATGGGACGTGCATCACGTTTGTTATTATCATTGGAGATCAATTTGATACAGGTGACTATATGCTTAACACATTGCAGGATTTGCACTGAGTTTTAGAATTGTTTAACATTTGAACCTTACGAAAAGAATACTAGAATCAGTATAAAATCTGGTTATTCCTCATTGTTAATGGAGTTATATGAAACAAGAAAACACGCAAATAAAAATACTTTCCTGTCATTGTACAGAAATAAACAGGGACTTTTTGAAATTCATAATTAAACTTACACTTAGCTTTTCATTAAGTATCTGTTTTGTTTTTATATTAAACTAGCTGGATGTCTGCCATATGACGGTAAACACTCATTAATTTTTCTTCTGAAAATGAAATCTAAATAAATGTTTTATGAACATGTTTTTGCAGTAACAATATATGTATGAAGAGTGTCTGTATCTTTTCTAGTATTTTATGAAAAAAACAAACACTTTTAGTGTTTATATTTGGTCATCTCCTGTAAGTTGTCCTTGATTATAATGTAGACTTATGTATATTTTTACATTATGTTCAAATGTTCTTGTTGATAAAGCCTTCCTAACATTGTAATATATTTCTCTAAACATGATGAGTTAATAGATTAAAAAATTATAGAAAGTCCCCAATCGAATGGGATTTAAACACAAGTCGTCTGCTAGAGACAAACTACTGAGCCAATTAGGACGTTACCAACAGAGAGTCGAGCGTTACTGAAAAAGGAATCGTTCCGAACAGTGCGTGGGGGGTGGGGGTGTTACTATACACATATTATGACATTTCATGCTTATTTGCATTTCTTAGATTTATTCTGCATTATTCTAAGAGATAATTTAATATAAACTATTTGATACAATCTGTTTTGTTTCTTGTTGATTGTTTTAATTAACATACTACACCTAACAGCATATTTTTTTCACATTCATCGTTCCTGCAAGTCATTCCGCTCATTAGATATTCTTCTTGAGAGTAATGGATTGTGTTTCTAATAAAGACACCATGCACATTTGTTCACGAACTACAGACAATTCTCTTAAATACAGGATTTAATATTCCGTACTTTTCCCATAGTGTTCCAGTCATTGTATGGAGCTGGTTACTGTCATTATTGGTATATGAGAAGGGAATTTGCAATGATAGTTAGTTGTTGCATTATTATTCTACCTCTGTGCTTTCCTCGTAGGATTGATTTTCTCAAATACGCTAGGTAGGTGTAGACTTATTAAGAAAAACTTCCGTTCTAATACGAATATTGTTGATGGTGTAAATCTGTTAACAAGGTCAGAAAATATAATTTTTGGCAGCTATACATTGCCCAATTAGTTGAATCAACTATATTACTAACAAAATTATTATGCAAGCTTAATAGTGAAACTTGATAAAACACACCATTTTCAATACGTATTAATCTCTATCTATTTATAGTTAATTTTTGGCGATCGGTCATTGAAATGGACTGGCGATTATTAAGAACACCTAAAGATGAATCCCTGTTTAAAATTCTTTTAAATTTCATGATTTTATCCTATCACATATATATATAGTATAATTTTACTTTACATAGAAACTTACAAATATTAGTTATAATCAAGTGTAACACCGTAATAAAACGAAGTCTTACCTGTTTTGTTTGTTGTGTTTTTAATAGATAAGATATCTATATATTTTAAGTTTTATAATTAAGCTGTCATATACTAATTTTTGGTAGCACCTTCAGAATTCCATAATTCTTTTTATATGTCATCTTTCCCATTGTCTGCATGTAGTTACACAGTTTTATATTAAAGTATTGAGTTGTATACTTATTTAACTATTACCTTAAGAGTTAAGACTTATTTATTTTTTTATGTACTGTTCTGTGGCAGCACCTTCGGAGTAGTTGCTGTTTTATACGTTGTCTTTCTAATCATCTACAAGTACTTTGAAGGAAAGTTCGAACCTGGATCGATACGAAGAAAACCTGATATTTGGACTGATGTTTTTGTTGTCGTTCCTACCATTTGTTTTGGTTATCAGGTGAAGGCTATAGAAAATTATTAATGATTTAAGTTTTATTTACCAAGAGTATAAAAATATAACAGAAAGTGAAAACGTGAAAAAAAAAATGCATTGTGAGGACTCGGGATATATGGATTTACATGCAATTAGTTGTTATAATACATGGTATAGTATTCATGTTATAAGGCTTGATGTGTGTTCTGAACATACACACAGAAATATGTACTTCTATTTCCTCACGAGGTTTTAGTTTTGGTGTTTCACTGCGTTTTGAAGACAACGTCTGTTAGTGCTACGTTGAGCTGTTAAAACGAGTTGAAAATGGGCTTTTATTTTGCGACAATTCTTAAGTTTCTCTCTATCTTTTATTGGATATGCTCCTACATATGCTGGTAAACAGTTGAGGTAGTTTTAAACATCTGTAGCTATTCTCTAATTATATCATGTGTTATATATATATATAATATATATATATACAGACAAGGACAGAAGATGTTAATTTGTTTGTTTATTTTAGCGCATAGTCACACATTGGACTAACTGCGCTGTTCACCCTGGGGTCGACCCCAGTTTTGAGCATTATAAGCTTTGAAGTTTACTGCTTTAGTCACACGGGGACAAAGGACAGAGCAAGAGTTGTTGCTCTGCTGATCTGTAACCCAGTCGTAAAATTTAGTTTACCGTGGCAGTTATTTCGATTTAAAACTTTTAACCCCAGGCCAAATTAACTTTAAATGTCAACTTTGACCAAGGATCAAAAGTAATCGGGGGGTGTTCAGAAACACTATATGTATCGTGGAAAAAATAATAATAAAAGTAAAAAAAAATCACGGTGGGTTTTAAATCTGGCTATGAGACATGGGTGATATCGATCACAGTAATAGTGCTGTAGTTTAATGTGTCTTCTTGGATGGTTTGGGAGGTTAAAACAATTATACTTTTACAAAACAACAATATTAGGGTGTGGATCTAAAAATCATAATCCCCATAATTTTGATATAAGTGTTGCATATCACAACTTTATTCGTAGTTGGTCTCTGTGTTCTTAAGTTTCTATGAACGTTTACGTATCATCTCACATCACTTACTCCACACGAATGCAGAATTCCTCTTTGATAATATTGTGTTCTTCGTCCAATGAAATAGTGATTTGTTTTTACTTTTATACACATATAAATATAACTATTACACATACAAGTTTCCATCTGTGGATACAAACAACAAAACATTACAATTTTTGAACTCTTCCAGTTTTTTATCTTCTGTAGAAGAGTTCAATAGTCTTGTTATTTGTATCCACAGGTGGAAACTTGTATGTGTTTTGGTTGTATCTATAATATCTGTTGTTGTAATATACATATGTATGGAAATAACATTTCTAACCTGATATGTATGAAGAGGGCTTGAGGTATAAATAAAGCCTTACATTTGCACAAAAAATCAAATACAATCCGTTATGTAGAGCAGCAGGAGTTACGTGAGCTATCTTCTACGTACCGCAGTAATAACTGAGTTAATTAAAATCTGATAATGGTTTTTCTCGTGTTTGGAAAGTGTCTACTGCAGTTAATGATGTCTGTTGATCAGTTCACGAATTTGGGATTAAAATTTAGATAGAAAACCTGAATATGATGAGCTTTTTAACAGACTAGATCTCTAGTTTGGTTTGCTTTGAATTTCGCGCAAAGCTACACGAGGACTATCTGCGTTAACCGTCCCTAACTTAGCAGTGAAAGACTAGAAGGAAGGCAGCTAGTCATCACCACTCACCGCCAAGTTTTGTGCTACTCTTTTACCAACGAATAGTGGGATTGACCGTGATATTATAACGCCTCCACGGCTGAAAGAACGAGCATATTTGGTGGGACGGGGATTCGAACCCGCGACCCTCAGATTGCGAGTCGAGCACCCTAACCACCTGGTCATGCCAGGCCCAGATTTCTAGATAGCGACAGAAGAAAAGTCGGTTCTGTTTGGTTAATTAATTGAAAAGAAGTCAGCACTGATAGAAATATTGTGATGTGAAAACAGTCAGCCAAGGCGGACAAGCAATCAAGATGTTTGCTTGTTTTTTAGTTATGCACAAGGCTACACAAGGGCTATCTGTGCTCTTCTCACCACGGGTATCGAAACCCGGCTTCTAGCGTTATAAGTCCGCAGACATACCGCTGTGCCATTGGGGGCAGCAAACAATATTGCAAATTGTTAACAAAATAAGTATATTTATTTTTGACTAAATCATCAATAGGTACACATACCATCGAATATAATCTGTCAAGTAAGCTATACCCCCCACCCTCCTCCCCGAACACTCCACGTCAAGATTGAGACCGCTACTCAATGAATCTATAAATACTGAGTACCTTAACAGTATTGTGTAATTAATACAGCCCCCTGACACTTTACTGCGTTTCAAGGGACCCACAGGCCCAAGTTTATAGTTGCCGCCCATTAGACAGAAAAGTCGTTTGTCAGTAGCTAGAAATTAATTAAATCGACGTATCCTACACTTGCACTGTTAGTGCAAGCATAAAACTCCACATTATTGAAAGAAAGATAAAGTTGATTTGAAAGAAATAACTGAGTAGGTAAGAGAATTTTACTGGACTGTAACTGCCTGTTGAATGAAAGAGTACAACGTTCCGACTTGTATACTGAGACCTTCTTCAGGTCACTGTAGGTTCGTCGTTCATCCTTTGCAGATACTTGACGAGTATTTTCAGTAAGGCTATGACGTCATCATATTACTTGTAGTGTTTGTTTTCTACACGTCGCTTGTCTCTCTTGATTTCAGTTTATTGTAGTTTGATGTAAATAGCTTCTTTAATTTTACTTTCTTCCAGTGGTGAACTTTGTCTAAAATTCTATGTTGATCCAGGTTTATATCCTGGCCGATTTCCTGGATGTGTTTGGCTAGTTCATCTAACATTTAAGAACATGACATTTCATAGATGGTTCTTTTTGTTTAGACTTCTTAGTTGATTGTTTCACTGTAGTGAGGATGTTTGGAAGACATTTTCTTATTAGAAATAAAAACAAAAAACTTTAACGTTAGCTTTACAGTAAATATTTTAAACTTTTTCGCTCAATTTGGGAATTTAGGGTAAAGAAATGATCAATTTGTGTTATACTTGGTCTCGTCGTGAGAGTTGGGAATCTTGTTCTTCTCGGCAATAGATATATAATTTGATGGTTATCCATTGTCTTTGGAAACTTTCTTTTTCAACATGGTTTTCATCAGAAATCTTTCTGGCTTTGTCAAAATGTTTCATATAATTACACATTTAACAGATTTTGAGTGGTTGGACCTGTAGTATAGGTATCTGTTAATATCGTTGCAGTCCGTTAAAGTTCTAAAACTATTTCTACTCTGTCTAAAGTTCCACTGAAACAGCAGAAAGAACTGAGTTTAGCCAAGAGCTTATGAGAACGCTTATGATGAGAGAGATGCCGTGTCATTATGGAGGATTTCACACTAAAGTGCGACCTATAGAGTAAGGGTTGTGCACATCACGAACTGTGAAATAAACACACTAACTGAGGGCTTTCGTAGAACCCTGTTGATTGAGCTTCATGCTACCATACGCAGCTGTTACTAATGCAAAACACTTGGCAAACTCAAGAAGTAACTGGGTTTAATGAAGCATACAAACGCTGAACAATAACAATGAAAAGAGGGAGTCACCCAGTGGGACAGCAGAAAGTTTATGAATTTACAAAGCAAAAATCCTGGGCTCGATTTCCCGCGGTGGACAAAGCAGATAGCTCAAAGTCGGTTTGTTCTAAAACAAACAACTAACAACAATTGAATAGAGGAAAAATACAGAAATGTAAATTCTAAAGTAAGTTTACTCCTACGTTTTTACATCACTACAGTTATTTGTTCATCCCTTAAAAACAAAAATAAAGGGAAGCTTCAGGAGTTTAAAAACTAAAGCTACTTGTACGAGGAAACTAGCCCAAGGTATTACAAGCAATAGAAAAGTAAGCTTGAATAATTTAGTATAATTATTCAATTTATCAATTTACAGTGTTCTTTTAAATTACTCTTAGTCAAACATCAGACAGCACTTATATCTTGTGGCGCCGTGAACTCTTGAAAAAGACCTACGACTAAATGTCAGGTTTAAATTAGTTATTATATTTTCTGGAGTTGTATTAGTCGTCATTTCAGTGCATGGTTTCAATTCTCTAGTCCAGTGATTCTCATTTTTTAAACAGAGTTTCCTACCCTTACACATGCACCATAGACATGCACGAAACTTTACATCCTTTACGTGCGGGTTGCTTAGTTGACAAAACCTATTTAGAATCATTAATACAATGTTAATCTTAATTAAAAACGCTACACAATGGCAGGAAATCCAGCAAAGAATAACAAATAGGATATTAACATCTTCAATCCAACATTTTACTAGAACTCAAGTATCAATAAGTTATTAGTACCAACTGCGGACTTATCATGTGATCTTGAATGCTGACCTTTAGGTTTGCTATTTCAGTATCCCGCAGTTACGTGGCTAATCATTATGTATGTGTATGTGAAGGTTTATAACTGTGACAGTCAATTGTTACCTCATTATATGGATTTAGGAAAACCTAAACCCCTTGAGCTGACCGAACCTAGTGAGATGCTATTGGGTTTACGGACGAAAACATCGCTAACAGCGAGGTTACCCAATCATGAAACAATATGTTATAAGTAATATAGTTTGATCATTATATTTAATTAGCTATACTCATTACTAGATATGTGTGTTTAGTTCTAATCTTAGTAGGGAACTTGCTTTGATCAGAAATTAATATGAAATAACTTACAGGTTATATCAGGTTATGAAGGGATTTTCTGCTCCGGGTCTGAAAATAGCTGAATAGAAAAATTATCAGTCTGATATTATGTCTATAAAAGACGGCTAAAGGTTTATTGAATTTTGCACAAACTTGGTTAGAGGACTAAGACACTTTCTTTTAAAGTTTTCCCGTACTTTTGCTTTTCCTAAAAAAAGAGAAAGAAATAGATCTATGTAAAAAGGAAATGCCAGAGAAGTGTACATTCAATTTTGCATGGCAGGAGATGGATTGGTATGCCGGTTGGCTGTTACCAGACCGTAATAATAATAACCATGTACACTGCAAAATATATGTGAAAGACTTCGACACTGAGAATATGGGAGAGTCTGCACTCAAGAATAACATGAATCTGCAAAACACACAGCTCTAATGAACAATGCAAAAAGTTTCATGTGTGTTTTTTTTTTTCCAGTGTCTGCGGACTTACAACACTAGAAACCAGGTTTGGATACCCATGGTGGGCAGAGCACACGTAGTCCTTTGTGTATCTGTGTTCTTAAAAACAAACAAAGACTTCCAATACAGTGGATTTTAGGTCAAACTACTGTTTTAATGAGGTATGATGTGTATAGGACCCATGGTGTATGGATACCTAAAGAACGTTAAAGTGGCTAATAAGTCACCTTTTGCTACCGAAAATTTAGGATGAATACGAGTATAGTAAACAAAATCTAAATGCTATTTTTCTGTAAATTCAAATCCCGCTGTGGTTAACATCTCTCGGGGCCCAATCCAGGATACAGTCACAAAAGTTGGAGGAATAGGAGAAACATACATATTACCCAAAACATGATTCTGTATTGCAAAAATTCTAGGCGAAAATACAAGCAATACTTAGTTACCCACCAAGAGTGCAAAAACAAGCGAAGAATAATACCACATGAACAAGAAATCATGGAGCTGAATGAAAAGAAGAGAATGCTGGAGAAAGACAATGAGCATCTACAAGAGGAAACAGAAAAAGTTGCAGAAGAAGCAAAATAATCTTCAGAGCCTTAAATTTAACTGTTTTAGAAAATCTCTGAAAGAAGAGCAATGTGAGTTAAGATATCCGATGAACAACATACAAAAACTAAAATTGAATTGTTTCAGAAAATCTGTGAAAGTAAATAAAGCTGATTTAGAAGATGTGTGATCAGCAAAATACAAAAACAAAAGAGCTGTTTCAGGAAATCGAAAGGAAATTAGTAAGATGTGAAAAAAATAAAATTGAACTGTTTCAGAAAATTTGTTGATGTTTTCTTTTTTTTTTATTTTTTGCTGTCATTGACAAATATTTTTTGTTGGAACGTTTTGAACTGTCCAATCTTTGAATAGAAACAAATACTCTTACAAACACTACAATTATATTGCCAGTCTGAGTAGATGTCTCATCTTTACTGTTTTTAAGATAAATTCTGTGCACCATGTGTCTGAAGTTTTAAATTTTAATTAAAAATAAAATACAACATTCAATGGCCTTTGATTCTTTCTTAAGAACGTAATGAAAAGGGATCAAAGAAAATAGTTAAAAACTATTGAATAATACTTTTGGTATGTGGAAATAAAATTTATTTCATTAAAAGTAAAGTCCTTGAAGACCACATTTTGGTCCTTGAAGAAATCATTAAGAGTCATTGAATTTTATTTACCATATCCTGTATGAACTCTGCAACTACTATTATTTTAAGCGTATAATACTAGCGTAGATATGCCAGCTTCACAAACTGTAGACTGAATCTGTAGTGTAATCTAAAGTCTAAACTGAGACAGATTTTCTCTCGCTTTCACAACTTTTATTAACTGTTCTTACTTAAAAAAATTATCTGTACGCCCAAATGAGTTTGTACGTACATTTTAAAAGAATGGCTTGATTTAGTGATTAGCATATTTACCTGTAGATTGAAGGATCCGAGGTTTGAGACTATATATCACTTATGACATGCAGTTAATTAATATGTATAATTCTTGAAATTTCTATGCATATGAAGTGTGTTCAGCTTATAATATAAAAAGTCAGTCAAGAGAGCACACAAGTACTTCTCACCCTAGTAACACGTGGGACTGGGTCACTCAACTAGGATGCCATATGAACTCTCTAGCATAATCACTTGTATTAGGCCTAGCATGGACTGGTGGTTATGGCGCTGAACTTGCAATCTGCGGGTTCGAATCCCCGTCGTCGGACATGCTCACCGTTTAGTCTTGGCTAAACGTAAATCATCTGAACGGCCGAACTAGTTGGGATTAAAATCAAACGAAGAAGAAATTATTTGTGTTGTGGTTGAGCTTACGTTGGGCTTTGAATATCATTGGTCTGTTTGTTTTTTGTTGTAATGTTTTACCTCCAAGAATAATCTTATCTGAAATATAATTTATTATCGTGGGCTAAGTAATAATGTACCTACCACATTTAATATAGCATTGTACTTGACTTATTTTGAATGTTAATGCCTCGTTACGGGTAACATTAACTAGCTGATAGGAGTTATTGTTTTATTATTATTTGATTATAATGTTGTATGTTGAGTTATAATTCTACATTAAGCAAAACGTTAAAATGCTGTGAATGCCCGTTTTTCCAGTGTCACGTGAGCTGTGTCCCCGTTTATTCATGCTTAGCTGACCGAAGAGTGACCACCTTCCTGAAAACTGTTCTGGTGGCCATTGGTTTGTGTTTATTCACATATTCTGTGGCAGCGTCTTTCGGTTATCTAACATTTGGGTCTTATGTTGCTAGTGACATCTTGGTGTCGTATGATGCTAAAGATCCCGTTGTTCTGATAGGCGTTGTAGCTTTTGCCATCAAAACCTACACAACGTACCCAATTTTATTATTTTGTGGAAGGTAGGATATGTAATATTTATAACTTAAACAAATTGATTTAAAATTATCACTCCCGAAACATGTGTTGTTGTTTTTTTGATAAAATAAACTGTACTTTATTGTTAAGAACTTATTTTTAACTCCAGTGAATTAGCAGTATTCATTTAGTATATTATATCTGAAAACAATTATGTTAGGTTGAAATGTATACAACTTTTTTACAATTTTAGAAATATTAGTTGTGTCACATATTAAATTTATTGATAAGTCAACAATAGAAAATTGTATTAACTTATTATTTGCTTTAAAGAAAATGAAACGTTCAAGTTATCTGTTCTCTAAACTGTATGACATGTCGCATGAAATAAGAAATAAACAACAAAGATTTCCATTCATGCAATTGTGATTTTTAAAAAAATTGTATTGAATTATTTAAAATGTGCGAATAACTTGTTGATTTGTACCTTAATAATCAGTGGATCTACACGCTTTATAGAACAGCTATTGATGACTTATATCTCCAAGCAAGAGGTTCATCGGAAGAGCAAGCACAAAGAAATGAACGATGCCGAAGAATAACAATCGCTTTGTTTTGGTTCGCTTCATCTTTACTCCTTGCTGTCCTTATCCCTAACATTGGAGTAATAATTCGAGTATTGGGAAGTTTAGCAGCTGTATTTATTTTCGTTTTTCCTGGTAATTTTTCTCTCTATGATAGAATCTTACGAATACAATTTTTTGCTGTTTTTTTTTTTTTCAGGTTTTCACATTAGAGTATAGTATGCGAAAATTTATTTTAATTTAAAAACGAATTTGTCATATATAACCTGTCCAAATTATTATGATAAATTATTTTACTGTATATTTAATATCAAATTAATTTGTATTTCTGTTATAACATCGCCAGATATAAAAGAGTTTAAAACACTGTATTACTTCTTTTTTTTTTTCTTAGGAACTTGCCTCTTAAATCTAACTCTGACGAAAGATCCCGAGCTTATCATGTTGAAGAACAAGCTAATAGTAATCTGGGCTATATTCTTCATTGCTATGGGAGCATGCATTTTTGGTTTGGTTTTAATCCAAAGTCTAATACAAGATATGTTTAAAGAGAGTTTATTAGATAAAGGGGATTCATGTCATTAAAATGGTATAAACTACAGCAAGTGTTATCTGTAGAATTGTTAATAAAACATTTGTTTGTTCCATAATAGGTATTAGAAGTAAAACATTCGTAATTAAGGATGTTTTCGGTATTACCACAATATTGTTTCTAATTGCATCGTTAAAACTTCAAAAAGTTTACTATATCTTAACTGCAAAGAAGAAAAAAAAACACTTTAGCTATTAAGCAATTTTTTAAATAACCAAAGAAAGAACACAGATTTAAACGGTGAAAGTATAATGAAATATGTTATAAAATGTTCGGCAGACATGTATATTTAATAGTATTTTTAAAAGAAAACGTATAGAGAAATATTTAAATATAGGTTTAATGACCCGAATCTTTCAAATTACGATAAAATGGAAAATATTTGGAATGAAGAAATAATTAGATAATGACAAGAGGAACAAGTTGATGTTACTATTTAGTGTTGGGTGTAAATGAAAAGGCTTTCTTTAACAAATACTTCGTAATCTGTTGTTCCAGAGTCGAGAATTTTAAAGTTTTCAAGAGTGATCGTTATTCTCACTATGTTATTGGACACAAGCGTCAGGTTGATTAGTTAGTTTATATCCGCTTCTAGTTGATTTGTTTGTTTTGTTTTTGAATTTCGCGCAAAGCTACACGAGGGCTATCTGCGCTAGCCGTCCCTAATTTAGCAGTGTAAGACAACTAGTCATCACCGCCCACCGCCAACTCTTGGGCCACTCTGTTACCAACGAATAGTGAGATTGACCGTCACATTATAACGCCCTCACGGCTGAAAGGGCTTTTTAGTTGAAGTTCCCGTGGTTCGTTGCTCATATTTGTAGGTGACGTGTAGTTTTACCAATATAGGTAGCTTTACAGCTTCCACAAGTGTATTTATATACGACCCACGAGCACATAGGGATGGATAAATTTTCTTGGTAGGTTCTATTTTATTTGTTTAAAATACTCATGTGATAGAGTGTAATGAATTGATTACATATTCATTACTTTATAATATGCTATGAAGTTTTGAAACTTCAGAGTGGAGATAAAAGATATCAGATCGTATACGCCCTGTTCAGGAAATTTTGAACAAGGTTGTATTCTTTTTTTTTGAAGACGGCAGTAGATAAGCTGTTGAAACGTAGGCTACGAATTAATTGGTAATACTATCTAGAATAATAAAGAAAATGATTACTTGTGCATTTCTGAACACTATGTATGCACCACTGATCCTTGATCATAAGATGTAGCACGTTAGCTTGGTTTGTAACATGGTTAGCAATAAGTACTTTTACACATGGATAACTAACCAAGTTGGTCCAATTACCGCAGGAACTGGAGGTTCTAGCTTGTTATTCATGTTGTTTCTTAGATATTTTATAAGGATAGCACTATTTAGAACAACATGTTCAATGTAAACATGACATGTTATAAAAACAGTAACCAAGTTGAATCTGTTGAAAGCATCTTGACGTCACTGTGTTTTATTGGTAGATAACAATGGATGAAGCATGTTTGATTGACGTCACGCGCGGTAGGTTTGTTCTTATAACAGATTAAATTTAAAGTCTTAAATTGTTCTTAATCAGTGAGATACCCAGGAATATCTCATTGCTTAAGAACAATTTAAGAAAAGTTTAGTGTGATGACAGACAAACAGTAATATACAAATACGTACACTGTCTGACACGTGAAAATGATAGTTTTTAAGACTTTCACATTTGGATTTTGGGTCAATTTTGCGGGTGAATAAAATTCACTTCTAGTAATATCATTAGATAAAGTCACTGATGAATGACTATTCATAATCTTTTGTGAAGCATATTTTAGCGTATCCCTGTCTCTAGACATCAAATACTGTATTATTTATAGAAATACGAGTGTCTCTTTTATGAAAGTCACATACTTTGATTTCCTGTCAGAGTTTTTTACAACAATGACCTCGTTAATATCGTTTACTTGTACGAAACAGACATTTCTATCAGATCACCTGAATCTGAGTGAAACCCTTGAGGGTCTTTTCATGTAATTTTGTCTCTATATTTATACAGTCTACCTGACTACTAAAAGATGTTAAATATCTTCCGGTTTACCTTTGCCTTATATTATTACTGACAAACAGATAATTGTCATCTTAGGTTAGGTACGTTTCAATGTTTAAATCTTAGCCTACATTCTTATCGGCCATGTTATTGTTATAGTTAACGTTTCGATTAAGACTAACTGCAGTTCTATACGTAATCATGTTAATACTTAAAACATTCACAGAAACATTGCATTAATTGTGAGCAATCTGATGGTTTCCATTGTAATGTGTGCAAAGTATCATTAAAGCAGAATTTTAGAAATAGTTATGAGTTTGCAAAATGTGAAAGTAATCTTCTTTTTTTTTAAATAGTGTTTCATTTTATCTGAAAGAATTATTTTAAAGCATGTCGCACAAATAAAAATGTTTTCCTCTGGTCAGAATTTGTTTACTGAAAAATTTCAATATTTTTAAGTAAATTACATCTGTAACCACCGCAGTGTACATACAGCATTGCTTTCAATTTACGCGCACTGCTGAATTGTTCTCATTTCAAATACACTGCTGTGGTGTATGTAACGCACTGTCCTAATTTGAAATGCACTGTTGTGGTATATGTAACGCACTGCCCTAATTTGAAATGCACTGTTGTGGTACATGTAATGCGCTGTCCTCATTTCAAATACACTGCTGTGGTGTATGTAATGCACCATCTTCATTCTAAATACATCGCTGCGGTGTATGTAACGCGCTGTCCTAATTTGAAATGCACTGTTGTGGTATATGTAATGCGCTGTCCTCATTTCAAATACACTGCTGTGGTGTATGTAATGCACTATCTTCATTCTAAATACATCGCTGCGGTGTATGTAACGCACTGTCCTAATTTGAAATGCACTGTTGTGGTGTATGTAATTCGCTGTCCTAATTTCAAATGCACTCTTGTGGTGTATGTAACGCAGTATCCTGCAACTTATATATATGTTTTGACGACTACAAGCTTTTTTCTCTCTCGTGAGAAATTGGATTCCTACGCGTGTATTGCTTTCTGGAATTCGACCGTTTGACTTGATCTTTCATTACTTGAAGTGATTCTAAAATAGATGTTTTTTTAAAGTGAATTTCAGGCTGAACAACATTTTATTCACAACACATTGAGTTCTGTATAAAAATCATATCGTGCTGTCCCTTTTTTTCTTCTAAGTATGTTATTTGTTATCCAATATTAATAGTAAGGTTTTGCCTCTTCCTTTTTTGCCCCCCAGTGGCACAGCGGTGTGTCTGCGGACTTACAACGCTATCTGCGCTCTGCTCACCACGGGTATCGAAACCCGGTTTCTAGCGTTATAAGTCCGCAGACATACTGCTGTACCACTGGGGGGCAAAAAAGGAAGAGGCAAAACCTTACTATTAATATTGGATAACAAATAACATACTTAGAAGAAAAAAAGG